ACAGCACCTCTGCAGCCTGGGCTGGCACTGACAGCAGGCTGATATCCCCACTGGGCGCGCCTGCTGCAGCTCCTTCTTTGGCCCCTGAATACTCCACTGCTGAGGGAGTTCTGAGTGCAGGAGCTGTTTATGTCTTTTAAACTTTTGGAGTCAGAAATGTGCATAGTGGCGACAGGGACTTTGCCTATGGCTGTGCCAGTGGACAGAGCTGGACATTGTGCCCAGATATGTGGGCAGCAGGGAAATCAGAGGTGAGTCCGCCTAGGATGAGACTGCAGGGCCTTCTCTGCATCACTCCTGTACCCCATGAGCCGGGAGCACACAGTTCCAAAGAATTTCTTTTTTGTCAGCTTCTGATTTGATTGAACAAAGCTGGATTGTAAACTGAATCACTGGGACTTTGGTTCCGCTCTCCTTTGCATGCTCAGGACTTGATCTTAAAATAGTTCTCTGAGACAGGTCTTTGCAATTTCCAAATGTCTTCTAACCAAAACTGAAAAAATGCAGGAATCAATCATGCAAAATTCACTTCTACGTAGATATACATCTTTGGTTCTTAAAATGATTATTGTTGCATGCTTATGCTTTTACTTCCAGATTCTTGTAAACCAGATTCATTTTTCTTTTCTTTTAAATTTTATTTCAGGGGGCCAGGGAGATAGCTCAGTAGAATAAGTGCTTGCCTGGCAAGTGCAAGGACCTGAGTTCAATCCCCAGTTCCACCAAAACAAAAATAAAAAATAAATTTTATTTCAGAACACTAGATCTCCATACTCAAATTTTGCACCTAATACTTGCCAAATCTAAATCAACATGCTTCTCCCCTGTTGTTTGCAAATGAGAAGCATGCCCACACTCGGTGTTAATCGCCTGAGTCCCTGTCCATTTGCCAATTGCTGCATTCTTGCAGCTCTAGGTATTTCTGAAGAAAATAGGCAAGAGGATTTAGAAATAAAGACATGAAAATTGAGGTCAGGTAGAGCCCTCTCTCTTCTGATGGGAAGAAAGGAACTGAACAAACAACAAATGGGAGTTTATTTATACATTTGACAAAAAGTTCAAATTCCATGACATAGGTTTGCATAGTGACTAATGACTAGAATTGTCTTAGGCAATGTATTTGAGTTTGTTTGTTTGTTTGTTTTGCAGAATTGAGGATTGAACTCAGGCCCTTGCACTTGCCAGGCAAGCGCTTATTCAATTGAACTATCTCCCTAGCCCCCAGGCAATGTATTTTAGGACCAAACTAGCTTGCTTGCTCTAGGCACTCTTCATTCCCAGACCATCCTCACCTTCTCCCACATGTGTAACCTATTTCCAACATCAGCTGGTCCCTACAATGCTCCTTAGGAATCTGTCCCCTAGCCTGCCATCTGACAGGTCTGGTGGGAGGGAAGACCTGGTACAGGGAGGATCTAAAAACAGGCTTGGGAAGGGTGGAATGCAAGCACGTAGCTGGTGCTGCCTCTTGGCCATACAAACCCTCCGGACTGGACAGTCCTCTGGGGGAAAAATGGTCCACATGTCTGGCTGGGGTTCCTAGCTCAGCTCAGTACTCAGTTTTCCCTTGGGTCTTCTGTTCTGGAAGCTACCAGGCTTGATGCCAGCTGTACAACCAAGTGTGGGCATAATTTTGAGCATATCCTCTACCCTGAGGTCCAGCAGAGAGGAGGAGCCTGCTATAATCCCTTCCTTTACCAACCCACCGACAGCTTAGAGCCAACACTCACTGCCATCTGTTCCTACTGCTATAGTAGGAAGCCCAGGTTCTGCAAGTCCCAGGTCACTGCTACAAGGCTGATCCCAGAGGAGATTGTGGAGACCTGAAGGAACCTTTCTGGGGGCTAAAGTTGGAGACCCGCTCATGGCACAGAAGGGGATGGTAGGGATGACTCCCACAGAGATAGCCTTGTCCCTTCAGGATGGTGCCATCTTCCCTCCAGTCTGCAGCCTGTGCTTGTGGTGGGACTGCCCTCTTATGGCTGGCAATCAAACTGCTCTCCTCTTGGTCTACATGTGCTACTGCATAAAGAGCAGAGGGCTGTCTTTGCCACTGACTACTGAGAACCTGCTAAGAGACTACATCTCCCTGGCTTGGCCTTCAGGAGAGGCTCAGAGCATCCTCCCTTAAGGCGTAGGAGCCAGGTTAACAGGGGAGCGAAGCAAGCTTGTGCCGGGCCTGGCTCAGCTGGGCCAGCTGCTCCTTCAAGAACTTCCTCTTCTCGCTGGTGTCACTCTTTTCCTTCAGGAGCCAGGCGTAGCTCTCCTTGTCCTGCAGCAGCTGCAGCATGGCGTTCTGTAGGTGCTGGCCAAACAGCTGCAGGACGTAGTACTGGATGATCAAGGGGATGTGGGTGGAGATGCGGCTGTGAACCTCCTGGAAGAAGGGACAGATCACAAAACGGCTGAGTGGCAAGTACAAGGAAGGGCCCTTACATTGTGCTGTGAGCATTAGTGAACCCAGGGCTTCAGGGAGGGAGATCCTGGACTGGGTTCCCACTCAGCGTTCTCAGTGCCGGAGGCTGAAGGGGCTCCATGTGGACAGAGAAGGACCCACAGGGGCCACGGTGGCGATAGGTTCTGACCCTGGCCTTCCTGACCTTCATCTGGGAGCTGGAGGAAGAGGGTGGAATGTGCTCTGCAGCTAAGAACGATCCACTCAGCCCCAAGGGATATTCCCATGTGGCAGCTTCTTGGGAGAACATCCTACACCTTCTGGTTTTGGTAAGGCCTCGGGCTGTTCAGCAACAGGGCTTGGGCTGAAACGGAAACCCAAGTCACAGTGTGGACAGAGATTCCTCTCCCTATTGTCTCACTGTGCACATAGGTCCTTCTGCACTAGCTCCTTCAGCACACATGTGAGGGCCTTCACATGTGCTGATAAGACATCAAGTTGTGCTGTGCCTGTTTCCTTCTCCTGAATGCAGGGACAACAGAGTCACAGATGTCCACAAATTGTGAACCACATCCAATATGTCAAAAGCCACACACACAGGAAGAAGCCACGCAGGTGACAAACACCAGGGGCTATACCAGCAGAGTAAGGAAGAGGGGGTGAAGCAAAGGAGCCAGGCACAGCCTGCACCAAGGGCCACAGCGGAGAAGAGAGCAGGTACCAGTCAAGGGGAACTCCCAGGAGGGAATGATTTAGAAGACCTGGGTGGGACCAAGGACACAGCCATCAGGAAGGAATCAGTAACCTTAAGGAATTCTGACTGATGTGACTTCAGGGATGTACCTAGAGGATGCTATGCTTGGACCTATCAGCCAGCCCTGTTTCTAGAAGCTCCTGAGTGCTCTGATCCCTAAAACAAACGAGGAAGCTGGGTACTGGCCCTAAAGACAGAGACTCAGAAGAAAGCCCAGGCTCAGAAACATGAAGTCACTGGGCAGGGACCATGCACGAGTCCAAGCCGGATGTGGGGCCTCCAAACCCCCAGCACCTCTGCCTAGCTGAGGTCGAGCTGCTTCCAGGGGCCCAGAGAGCTGGCTGGTAATCTAGTGTTCCACAAGCCCAGACATGGGGGCTCTCTGAAGGAAAGGACTCGGCCCCTCAGATCTGAGACACAAACACACGCACCTGGGAGTAGGCTTTCAGGTGCTGGAGGATTTCAGCCATAGCATTGCTGGTCAAAGCCTGAGGGCCCTTGCTCTTCTTTCCCACCTTGGCCTCCTCCTCTCTGACCTTCTGCAGTACATCACGGTACGCCTGGTCCTGGCTGTAGACAAGCTTTTCCATCTGGAAGTGAATGCGGATCGCCTTCTCCGCAGCTTCTTCCTGGCTCAAACGAATGTCTTCGATTTTGTTCTGCATAAAGAGAAAGACACCTAAAGATCCCGCAGGAGGGGAACCCAAGACTACAGCACACAGCTCACCTGAGAGTCCACCGGAGTGGGCTCCTGACCTGAATGTCCCCACCAACAGTGCTGTGAGTGGACCCCATTTGGGCTGGTCCCCACCCACTCTGTGCCCCTTAGGACACTGCCCTCATCCATTCAGGGCTGTGAGCCAGTAGAGAAACTGCCCTCAACGTCAGGTGGGAGGGTGGCAGAGCCGGAGTCCCTCCCGTGCCAGCACCAGGTGCAGCCTGAACTGCTCTGTGCCTGGAGCTGGGCCTCACCTGTCCCTGACCCTCCCTGCTCTCCTCAGGTCCAGTTTCTGTGCTGAGCCTCCTTGGTGAGCATCCTGGTGGGGCCTTCACCTCCTGCGCTCCCCTCGTGATCCTCTCCGCTGTCCCATGTCTTCACTGACCTGGGTTCGGGGTTCCTGAGTCTAACTGATTCCTGTACAAGTTCCCACAACCCCACTGCATGACCCAGACCTTTTTGCCTGGGGAGCTGAGAATTCCAAATGTATACAGAGACTGTATCCAATCATATGCAACAAAAGTGTGTTTTGTTGTCAGAGATTTTTGCTCTTTTTTAATGGCATATTCATTACTGGTTTTACCTTGGTGGTTCTGTAGAGGTTAAAAAACTCAGTGAAGTTCTTTTCAGATACATCTGTGAAGGCGTTCTGGACCATATCTGCCCAAAGAGAGACAGGCACGTCAGCACGGTGGCTCCTGTATGCCTCCCTAGGCTGCAGCATGGATGGCGATAAAATACTCAGCAATGGACTGGAGAGATGGCTCAGGAGAATAAAGTCTCCCCTGGCAAGCTCAAGAGCCTGAGTTCAATCCCC